AGAAACAAGCCTAATTGCACTGCTTATGCAAGAAACTGGCTCACTCCATAGGAGCATCTGAATTGGTAGATACACATGGAAGAGGCGAAATTAGGCAGTTTGTCTTTTACTCCCGGACGAACGCAAAAGATGAGTGGTTTTGAAGATAGAGTAATTCGGAACAGGGAATGTTCTTTTTACCACCTCATTTCTAAGACGCTGTGTTAGTATCCCGCTGATGTTGTCCCAAGGAACTGTTGGTACTTTGGGCTGCCTTGATTTAAGATTCATATTCTTATCAATAAACTTTTCTGGATAGCCATTTTCACTCAGCAACCAACCGTTTAACATTATTAAGTTCCTCATCAAGACATTCATCTGAGCTGAAGCTGTTGCGATGCATATTAACAAGCCTAATTTGTGCGTCCAACATAAGTTAGTTCAGACATTATCCTTACCCGCTTGGCCATCTAGGTTTGAGTGGTCCTGAATTTTGTGGAATTTTCCTAATTCTAGTTGATATTCTATTTCATATTATATCTTTATTATTAAGATTATTATAATTTAAGCATCTTTAATGAACTGTGGTGGTGATTCCATTGTGATCTTACTTTACAAATCGATATTATAATTTAAAAAGCACACTAATATTGTTATTGTCTACTACTAATCTAGAATATTCTATGTATATATAAACATATGCATATATAGATATAATTGTAGAGCAAGAAGAGGGGGAGGAATTTATCAAAAGGATATTCTTATCTGGCTAAATTATTTTGTGTTTTACAGGTGTTTGAATGAATATTTTTGCAATATCAGAAAAGTCTGTTCATTTGTCAGTCAACAGTTTTATAAATGAAGGTGTATCGCGTTTAGTATTATGAGAAACGATTTCTAAAAACACCTGTTTGGTGCACATAGCTTCCTGGCTCTGTCATACAAAGTCCTCACTAATCCACGTGTATAGCTTATGGGACAAAAGCTGTTATAGTGAAGATATTGTCCAGTCCAGGTTTCTTTTCTATAGATGGACTTTTCGACCGTGCCTTCGTTTGTTCTTGTATGACAGAGCCAGGAAGCTATGTTCACCAAACAGGGTCGAAGAAGAATTAGTTATCATCGAGAAATGTCTAAGGGAAAATGGATACCCCAAGGGATTTATTCAGAAGTACAGCAGAGAAAAAGATGAGAAAGAAAAGCATCCAACTGTAGAAAAGAAAGAAGTGTTTATCTGTCTACCATACAAAGGAGATGCAGTGTCATAAAAGATTGAAAGGTGCAATAAATAGAAGCTTCCCGGCAGCAAATCTCAAAACAGTATACAGAACCACTCCTTCTTTAATCCACTCAAAACTGGATAAATACCCTGCTGATGTCACCTCCAACTGCGTTTATGAATTCACGTGCACTTCCGAGAGCAAGTACACTGGAAAGATGGAAAGAAGGGCTTCTATCCGGTTTTCTGAACATATTCCCAAAAACCTGTGCCTGAAAGGAAGCAGATATTCCCAGAGTGCAATTACAAGACACATTATTGATACCGGATATCTCGTAGAGATTTCTAAGTCCTTCAAAATATTAAATAGACAAAGGACGGCAAATTTACTACGATTTACCGAAGCGATCGCAATCAAAAGACTTAAACCAGACTTATGCATACAGAAAGAGAGTGTGATTAACCTCTCACTCCCTTGGTAACAGAATTTTGATTTTGATTAGTCATCTAATTCAGTGATCTCAACTCACTGAACAAATCTTAATCTTATAAACTGTAACCGTTTTTGTTTCTTGAGTCGCTATGTGAACCTACAAGCTAACACTGTTCTGTTAATCAATTTTTCTATTTTCTGTCTTACCCCTCCCCCCTCTTTTCAACTTTAAAAGCGTATAAATTGATGATGAAAACTTAAACTAAAAACATTGTAATGCTTTCATTTAGATGCTTCAATTTTATAGTATCTCTTCTCTACCATCACTCAAACATTAAAGTATGTCGTTGTCATCTATATAACCATTGTAATTTCAGGTAGTCTGCAGCTGATGAGAACCTGTGAAATAGAATGATATCATTTTATACTGCAAATTTCGTCTTCCTTTCTTTATCGAAAACACAAAATAATCGAGCACAGAATATTCTTTTCGATAAGGTCCTCTTCTGGCTGTACTGCTCCTGTGGGGCCAGTTACATAGGCCGCACAGTTAGGCGTGTCTCTCGTCGAATTTCTGAACATCACCCTGCGTGTTTAAGCAAAGGTCAAACAAAATCCATTCGTAGCACTATTCTGTCTCATCATATATATATATATATATATATATATATATATATATATAGCTAGGTTTGTGGAGCTAGGTTAATCTGTTCAGACGATTGCCTCAATGAGGAGCTTAAGATTATTAGAAAATTACTTAGAAAAAAAGTGGTTATCCAGATAAATTCATTGGGAAAAATATGAATTCAGCACCTAGGACAGTCAGTATGGCTACAGTTCCGAAAAGAACCACTGTTCTTAAAACTGCAGTTCCTAAGTGACAACATCAGCGAAATAATAATAACACAGCGCCTGAAGAATGCAGTTAAAGGAGATTATTATGCGGCAGAGGTACGTTGTCTCTTCACAACGACCCCTAATCGACATTCGAGAAATAAGGATAAACTACCTTAATTTACCTCATCTATGTGTATCTACCAGTTTGACTGAAGCTGAGGAGCCAGTTACATCGGGGGCGTACAATTAGTCAGGTTCATCATCGTATTTCTTAACACCATCCAGCATGGTTAAGTAAGGGACAAACAAGATCTATTAGTAGCAGCACTATTTTAGCACACCTTGTAGATAGTGCGCATATGGTTGACGTTAATACTGCATTTAAAATTATTGATCGCATTCCTACTAATCTTAATTTCGCTCTACGACTTCGTCTTCTACATATGACAGCTGAAGCAATAGGAATCCACTTGAAAGAGCTAAACCTGTGTGTGTGTTCGTAAGAAATTTTTACAGCCACTTTCCTTACCTTGGCCATCGTTACATGAATGCATAAATAGGATTATTTCTCCCCCTACCCCTAAACCTTTATAATTGTAAAAATTATAATTGTCCAAATTATTTTATTTTTTATTTATTTTAACCACTTCATCTTTAATTTGCGTGTTATCCTTGTAAAACTAATTTACTCTACTCATTTCTAACTTTCTGATTGTGTGTATTCATCAATTTTCTTCGTTAATTATCAACCCATTGACATGTTGACGCTGACGGACTAATTATTGTTAACAAACATATCGCCACTTGATTGGTAAATTGTTGTGTATTGTAATAAAATGCTATATATATTAGAGGAGAGCCAGAGATGAAGATCTAATTGAAAAGTTACAGGATTTCATCATGAGCTGACTTTGAAAAACCTGGGAGTACCGGATAGCTGTTTCGTCCTAGTTTGCGACTATCAGAAGTACGCACCCACCGCCAGCGTTCGAACCCAGGACCTTCTGGTTACAAGGCGAGCTAGCTCGTAGACCATTGAGCCACTGGGATCCGATCCAATGGCCAGTACATGAATTCTAACTTTTACCAATTCATGATATAGCGCAACCGCTAGCCAATGTCTTCGGCGAGTATTTGTCCTCACTCCCGACCGGCTGCACCCTACTGGTCACGACTTCCCACTGGGACCCCAGGTAACTACCTACCTGAATAGGGCCAGTCGCCAGTGAGCATCTCATTGATATTCAAGTAATGGTTTGTAGGGATTTGGTTGATTGGCTACAGGATTTCATCATGAGCTGACACGGTTGCGGTTGCGCTATATCGTGAATTGGGTCATTGGATCGGGTCCGAGTAGCTCAATGGTCTACGAGATCGCCTCGTAACCAGTAGGTCCTAGGGTTCGAACCACTGTGGTGCGTGCGTACTGATGAAGAGTCCCATACTAGGACGGGGGAAACAGCTGTCCAGTACTGCCTGGTTGGTTTTCCAATGGTTCTCTAATTAATGTCAACTCATGATGAAATCCTGTAACCAATCAACCAAATCCCTACAAACCAATACTTGAAGATCTAATTGAAAACTAAATATTTCTTCAATCAGTCTATCTGTTTCATTTTACACTTCAACAACAATATAGTTTTGATATAATTGTGATTTATCTTTACTGGCTACTGTATTACAATACTCATAGATTTATAGATACAGGGCCTAACAAGATGCTATTGAGAACAAATATCCGCTCGAAAAGTTTAAAAAACTTTTTATTCCCTGTCAATAGCTGCTACTTTGACGTCATGGTCGGGCTTGCACATCACGATGACCCAACAAGCTATACTGGCTGAAACCGATGTTCCTGCAGGTCCTACCACGCCAGGAAGGTTGTTGGGATAGCGATTAGACTAAAAGCAGCGACCGGCATAGTGTAATATTTCTTTTTTTACACTATGCTGAGGGTATGAGGGCGAAGTCGTACTACTGGGGAACAGGAGTGTAACAGCAGTGAGGTGTTTCCCTCAAATGACCAGCATGCCAGCCAGCTATGCTGTCTCTCCAGTCTGCTGGAGAGAGGGGGTTAGAAAAGGTCGACCCCAAAAATTGTACATCCCCATTTACCTCGCCTTTGGGGTTCCGTAACCGGTGGTAAGTTTACTAATACGGAACCGAACCAAAAAACCAGTTCAAACAGGCCGTGTGTGACCGGCCAGGCTCAAGCAGTTGTCCCCTGGGCTCTGCGGTCATGATGCAATACTAACCCTCTCTCTGTTTCAGGTACCCGAAGCAACTTCCACATTGGTGTGGGCAGCCGGGAAGTAACAACCGCCTATTTCTCTGATTATTATATAGGGATATTTAAGTAAATATATATATATATATATATATATATCGTAAAAATAACTTAGCGATTGCAAGTAAAGCATTCTTACAAGCAGTGTTATGTGTATATCCTCATTTGTATCTATCATAAATAATAAAACTAAGAAATCGATACGCAGTATTTATTGCATGAACACTATACTAGAAAAGATTTGTAACTCAGGTGGATGATTTGCAATTAATAGTGTTCTCTGAGCCAGCTTAGAGAACACTATTAATTGCAAATGAACACTATACTTTAAAGTCACACTAGATTCTTAGAAAATTATAATTTCCAACAATTTATCAGACAAAAAAAACGACCGACTGTGTCTGTTAGTTCAGTCTCTGAAATTTTTGTTAGAAGAATAACTATAGATTAATACAATTCGAATTATGAACTTTTGAGCTAACGTCAAAGACAACTATATTGGTGAAGTGATAAATTATTCGGAAAACTTTGTTTTTCTCACTCAGGATGTTTGGTACAGATCCATTGCAAGTTTGTGCATTCCGCCAGGGCCACTAATTTCCGAGCCTCTATTGCATTACATTGACAGCAGTATGCGCGGGTTCCTAAAATAAGAAAGCATCTGATCTTAGGTTGTGGATACATTGAAAATTGCATATATCAAGTAGCACTTTTAAGTCTTATTGTAATTATATCTTTGAAAAACTTTTGACTAGAACGATTATATGAATTAATTAACCCTATTTGGATGTGTGTCTGCTATAATTAGCATTTACATTAAATCCCTCATCTAACAAAATTGGTCACTTTGTAGTACTTTGTTGAAATCCTTGGTTTCGTAACCTCCTCGTAACAAATGTTTCCAGACATTCCCCAGGCATTTAATATTTAATACTTGAAATCTTTGAACTGAAATGGCTTTCAAGCTTAACAGTAGATCAGATTTACAGTTTAGATACATACATTTAATTTAGTTGTGTTATTTGAGCCGGTTCATTTAATTCCGATGCTCAGAGATCACAGCTAAATCAAAACTTAATATTAGCAGACAGAAGGTAAGGGTTAGTGGCGTACTGTCAGAGTGGAAAGCAGTACTAAGTGGAGTCCCTCAGAGAACTGTACTTGACCCCCTGCTATTCCTATTACACGTAAATGAAGTGCCGAAAATTCTCACCTGATCTTCCTTACTATTTGCAGACGATATTAAGATATGGAAAACCGTAAATGGTAAAGATGATAAGTTAGTACTACAAAACGATCTAGACAAATAAGCCGAATAGGCTAACCTTTGGAGTCTGGAAATTAATTCCAAGAATAGCGCGGTAATGAACCTAGGTCGTACTCCATGGGGAACACAGAGCTGCCAAATGTTAGGGGACAAAAAGGGTTAGGAATTATTGTTAGCCATGACTTAAAACAACGGCAAACTGTAATTGAGCCGCAGCTAAGGCTTTTCGAATGCTATGTACACTTCGAAGGGCTTTCGAACGATTACACGAGGGCATGTTCCAAATACACTGCGCAACATATGTCAGACCTCATCTAGAATACTTCATACAGGTCCATGCTTCAAAAAGGAGGCACATATCCTGTAAAACGTGCAGAGGCCAGGAATGAAATTTGTTAGTGATATCTCACACCTTCCTTATGATATGAGGATGGCGCATTTAAATCTCTTCCCATTAGCATACCGAAGGAGGAGAGGCGACTTGATTTTAGCTTACCGTAAATTGAAGGGTGATTTAGGGATTGACCCTTCTAATCTGTTCTCTCCCTCTAGGATATATTTACGAGGTCACCACAAGAAGGTGCTCAAACCGACGTCAAATAAAATACGTTTGGAGTTTAGATTCTCTCACCGAGTGGTCAACGAATGGAACTCCTTACCTGATTCAGTAGTAACAGCTCCCTCGGTGAACGCTTGCAAAAAGAAACTGGATCTCTGCAGAAATATATATCGTGAGGATCAAGATAGGCAACAATAGCCTTCTATCCGTATCATCTGAAGCTGAATCTGCGTTAATTGTCTTATATACTCCCACTTCCAGTACTTTATTTATTTTTATCGTCGTTAGCGTCTTCGCTAGCTTCCTCCTACTGTCTATTTGAATTATATTTCAGGTGTTTCATTTTGCGAGTTTTTCAACTAAATGTAACTCCAAACGAATAGCCAAAGGTATACAGTATGGTTTATAATAGCAAATGTTTTTCTGACTTTAATAATTTAAAAATAAGGTATACTGGCTCATACAACGTTGTTGAACGTACCAATGCTTTTTCTAAGTTTACATTTAAGTAAATTGTAATTTGGATAATTTGTCCGTAGGAACAGGTAATCAGGGCTTTTGGTCCAAGAGAAATTATTGAAGAGTAATACAGGGTTGTCACATGCGACACACTTCAAACGATCGCATGAACTAGATTTTACAAAAATGTTGTAAAATGAGGCTATTACCGTGTGATACTATTTGTTGTGATGCCAACTTCTGACTGAGTTCCACCCAAATGGACAATAGAGCATCTTCAGAACTTAGTCATAATTAGTTTTTTGAAGGCATACTTGTTTTTCAAGGCTTGACAGTGTGAACTGCTAACAAATGTAACATCTTTCTGCACCCTAACCAAAGAAAATTTTCAGTTTACTTACTTCTGAAGAGTCAATGTCGCCATCCTTTAAAATTTCATCAATTTCCGCCATTAAATCTCTGAAAAAATCCATCATAAGTACTGTTAGTCATTACTTGCTCAGCATTTTATCTGCAATATCTAAGTAGGGAAGTTTTCTCAGGCTAACAATAAATACATCCCTGCATGCAGCAGAATCATTCAATTTGTCATTTGTATAGTTGAAGGATTTTACAGTGTTTTCGAAAATCCGCGGAGCCATATGCGTCATGGTAATAGCATTGAAATATTTAATCTTCAATATCCAATATCATTTTTTACGAGCTGGTGTAAACTTATTCGATTCTTTTGTGCTCGCTTCTTGGTTGTGGGGCAAACTTCTGTATAGCTTGTCCCGCCACTCGACTGTCGGAGCTTCGGTTGACTCCAAAAGTAGTGGTGTCGGGATTAATTATATGTTGTTTGTAGTATGCGGTGTTAAGACGTTTTTACTACTGTGAATGGAGTTGATCATTTCACCATTTAGCTCTCCGGTATCGTCGTCAAAAGAAAAGAGATGATGATAATAATAGATATAATTAGTGAAGTTATTCAGGCCAACAGGCAGAAAAAGAAATAAGAAAAGGTAACAACAGTCAGCTGGTTAAATTTGAAGAATAATATGAATAATATACATATATCGGTAATAATGATAATAATAGGTGTAGTTAAAGTTGTCAGGAGAGTAAGATAGGAGAGAATGTAAAGAAGTAAAACGGCAAGTTGAATTGTCTACCCCTGAATGGTGTATGTGACTTTAAGGGGATAGGCCATTTGGTTGTAGCCCTTTTTTCGCTGAATGATTGCCCAGCCTTCGCTTAAAGGCATCCAAAGACGGTGCCTTGGTTGCATCTGCCAGTAAAGAATTCCAGGGACGGAAAACTCACAGTGAAAAGAGGTGGGGGCGCACCCGGGTCTTTGCCCTTCTGGGATTTCCACGAGGAAGCCTATACCTACTCAATGGCAGAACACCTTTGTTTGGGTGATTCCGGTCACTTGTTATTTTGTAGGCAGTAATCAAATCCCCCCTAAGCCGACGGTAGCTAAGTGTGAACAGGCCTAATATCTTCGGCCTTTCATCATATGCTTTATTTCGGAGACCAACCACTCCTTTTGTTACCCGTCGTTGGACTCTTTCCAATAGGTTGGCGTCTCTTCTCAGCATTGGGGGTGCAGTAATATTATGCACCTCAAGGTGTGGCCTGACGTATGTTTTGTACAACCTTAGAAAGAGCTCAGGAGTGAGTGCACCTAACTGTCTATGCGTAAAGTGTATGACCACATATGCCCTCGCTACATCCCCGTGAATTTTACGCTTGTGTCCATTTTTTCCGTTAGAACTAGACCTAAGTCGCGTTCCGACGTTGTGCAGGACAAGCTTTCGCTGCACGGGGTGTAGCTTGCATTCTTAAGTCTACGGGTGTGTGACTTCATTCATTTACAATTTTTCAAGTTGAAATTCACGCCACTGGCCACCGCCCAGTCTTCCAGAAGGCTTAAATCTTCCTGCAGTCTGTCTAATTCCTCCTGACACTTTATATCCCTCTATATCTTTACGTCGTCAGAGCATAGAAGAGTCGGGCAGCTTAGACGGAGTGGTAGATCATCGATGAAAATCAAAAACTTCAGTGGTCCTAGGATAGAACCCTGCGACACTCCTGATGACGAGCTGTGCCAAAATGATCGGACTCGGTTAACCTTAGTGCAAAATTGCCTGTCGGCTAGGTAGTCCTTTAACCATGACAGAAGTGGCTCGCCTATACCTGCCTGGCTTATTCTATGTAGGAGAAGGTCATGGTGAACAGTGTCAAATGCCTTCTCAAAGTCTAGGAATACCACATGGACTGGTACATTCAGATCCCAGCATGATGTCCAATCGTCCTTAGCTGATAGTTTAGTAATGCAGGATCTGCCTTTCCTGAAACCGTGTTGGGTTTCATGGAGTATATTAGACCTATCGAGATATTCCCTGGTGTAATAGTCAATAATACTTTCCAGTACTTTTGATACCACTGGGAGTAAAGCTACTGGTCTATAACTAGTGGCATTTTGCCTATCCCCACCCTTGAAGATTGGAGAAAGGATGGCTCTTTTCCACTCATTTAGCAGTTTCCCTGGTTCCACTGAGTGTTGGAACAAGTCGCATAAGGGCTTACAGAGAGCTTCGGCGCACTGTTTCAGAACAGATGGCCTGATGTCATCACAACCTGAGGACTTCCTAGGTGTGAGTCGCTGTAGCTTCCTTAGTACTATTGCGGGGTTTATCTGGGGAGTAGTCACTAGGTCTTCCTCCTTTGAAATAGTGGTGCCACCATTTTGGTTCGTAACGGTAATACCCACATTGCTGTTTAGCTGATTGGCGGAGGCTGAACTGAATGTTTCAGCCGTCTTCAGACTAGTGAGATATTGACCGTTTGGGCCTACTAAAGCGCATGTCCCCTGGTTGGTTGGTTTTCTTTCCGACATGAGTCGATACAAGTTTTTGGAGTTTGCTAGGAGTTTTTTAGCAAGGTTAGCCTGGAATGACCTCCTGTATCTCCTGGCCCTTGCATTACACCGGTTCCTTAGTTCCAGGAATGCATCGTGGTCGGTCTGACTCTTATATACGCGCCACGTAAACCAAGCCTTCTCCTTTGCTTGGAATATATGTAGCATGCCTCTCCTCAACCATGATGACTTTCTTTTGGGCTGTGTCGTGTCTTAAGGGACGGTATCCGAGATTGCTATATGAATAATCTTTTTAGCACCTCCCAGTGTTCATCGACAGATAACTGATCCCATGCTAAGGGCCAGTCTGCGTCGGACAAGAGCCTCTGCATTTCAGCATAGTCAGGCTTACTGTAACACAGACATGATTGCGTAACGTCTCACTGCGAATGCTCACGGACAACGAGATCGAAACCTATGACTGCATGGTCACTACTTCCTAGAGGAGTCATGATCTGGACCTTTCCGACGAGTAGTTGGTCACTAGTTAGAATATAGTCTAGTTTTGATGACTTCCCACCAAGGCCCCACCTAGTGTCGTCTCCAACATTCTCAGTCAGTACCGTGTTTTGAATAGTTTGCAGTAGGTTTCGGCCAAATTTTCCCTTAGCACACCCCGAGCCAAGGTTCAGTGAAGGGGCATTGAAATCTCCAGTTATGGTGATTTAGTCATAGCCCGAATCTCGTATCCCTGTGATAGTGTTGAGCGGTAGCTGATTGTGCTCTGCCCCACAGGTGGGAGATCGGTAGATGCCACCCAGTAAGTGCTTGGTGTGGCCAACGGTGAAATGACACCATATGGAGTCTGGGAGTTCGATAAGTGGTGGGTCCGTTGCACGTACATATTTAAGTTGCCTATCAAAGTATATGGCGACTCCCCCTCCTTCCTTATTATCCCTGTCTCTCCTGACCAGAACCATATCACCTATACTGATTTCATTGTCGGAGATAGTGGGGTTTGGCCACGTTTCAGTGAGAATGATCATTTTCAGTTGTAGGTGTGCATGGGGATTTCGGAGTCCACCTACTTTCCCTCTCAGCCCTCTCACATTGCTATATAGGGAGCCGACAGTGAGTCTAACCACCTCAGAGTGTTGTGGGGTAGTTGACGTGAAACTGTCTGCCGGTGGGGGACTAGGTGGCCGATTCCGACAGAACCGGCCCGTTGTAGGTTTTTCCATGGATTTAGACAGGACACTTGAGTGACAAAGACCGTTATTCTCAGAACTGCATCGCTCAAGTGTCACTGAAGATTGGGGGCATATGAAACCCTCAGTTTGCTGCCTCCTTATAGTTTGGGGTCTGCTTTAACAGCATGAGGTGTGTCCTCCCATTTTTCTCTTGATCTGATACCACGATGAAGTGCTATGTCCAACTTCTCCGGGGAGTTGAATGTGATATTTAACCGCTTTGGAGAGTCAATCAGTATGAGATGAGCGAGACGAGGTAGTTGGGAAATGGAGATAGCTCCAGAAGCGCAAAGGGCCATCTGAGATGACAGCCGTCTCCATACATGTGCTTTTAACAAGAGGTGAAAAATTCAGGTCCTATTTTTCATGCTGAGTTTTGTTGGTCCCCACACAGATCTGGGAGTAATGAAAGCTCACCTTGCTTTCCCGATCATCGCACTTTGATATCTTTACAATTTCCGTCTGCCCGTAGTTGACGTGATAATTCCTAGGTCGATGAAGGAGGTTGTTTCCTTCAGGTTTCTCGCATTTTTGCTGATTGTTGTATGTTGTTGTTGCTGCTGTTTGCTAGGAACCTTCATCACCTCTGTTTTCGCTGTGTTCATCTGAAGTCCTATATTCTCTGAATGCTATTTCTGCCAATTTGTTGCTTTTTATTTATATTTTTGATTACAGCTTGATTCCACACCGTATTTTTGATACGTGTATGGAATTTTCAGCATGGATATCGGTAGCCCAGAATTTTCAGGCCGACCATAGATATCAGGTGTGCGTCGGCGAGGGCTCGAACCCCGGACCATGTGCATGGTCGGCGGGAGTCCTAACCACTGTGCCACCGACGGACATGCGTATCTTCCGGTTTGTGGGAAATCAGACATATAACACATCGGCGAAGTTCAGATACTCCAAGTTTCTCGTGTGGTCCATTTTATGCCTATTTCCTCGTTTTCTGGCCCCCACTCTGTCACATTATTCAGTCTACCGCAATCAGGATTGGAGATGAAAAAATTCGACTAGAACAGGTTGGATTCAGGAGAAACAAGTCATGTATTGATCAAATCGACACACTACGGATCATCATTGAACAAAGCTTGGAATGGAAGTCACCTCTCTATCTCAATTTCATCGACTTTGAGAAGGCCTTCGACAGCGTCGATCGAGAGGTGATTTGGAAACTACTTCGCTGTTAAGGGGTGACATCGACAATCATACATCTCATCCAACAATTAGTTGTTCGACAGTGCTGCATGCCAAGTAATCCATAACGGGAAACTTACGAAATCCTTGGGAGAAGTGAAGATGGAAGTAATACAAGGCTGTCTACTATCGCCAATGATCTTCCTGATTGCAGTAGATTCGATAATGCAACAGGCAATGGGCAATGAGGAAACAGGCATAAAATGGACTCACACAAAAACTTGGAGGATCTGGACTTCTCCGATGATATATGTCTGATTTCCCACAAACTGGAAGATATGCAAGTGAAAAGCAACAAGCTGGCCAAAGAAGAAGCATCAAAGGTAGGACTTCAAGTGAACATAGATAAAATATAGG